TAGATAATTTTTCAAATTTTCTGATCTGAATCAAAGACGAACATATTGAACTTTAAAGAGGAGTAATTGCATACTCATTATTTTAAAAAAATATTAAATTTAGATTAATGTGTATTGAGAGAAGAAGAAAAAAAGAGAATATTTATATATCTATTTTTAAAAAGAAAAAGGAAATTAAAATCTTGGACTCTCCTTTTTAATTCTGATTCAATAATTTGCTTAGTTAATGTGTTCTCCGTCAAAAGATGCAACATATCTTTTCATGCCTACTTTTTTTGTACAAAGCCAAAATTGTACTCGGTGTTTAGAAGTTGATGTGGCATATAACACGTTAAAGATTATTATATTGATAGAATATATTTTCCTATCAGAAAACATTATCCTCAAGATTTCTCTACTCAAGAAAAGTGTCGGTTTTCTTGCGAGTTACAACATTTTTACTTAGATATCCAACCAAATACCAAATTATCTACTCAAGAGAAATGTCGGTTTCCTCTCGTTGATAGATTGATCCGTCTTGTGCTAATTCTCCTGGTTTCAACAGGAACATGCAAGCGTGCATTGGCGGAACTTCATTTGGGGGGGGGGGAAAGTTTAACAATATGTTTTTCAGAAAAAGAAAATTTTATACGGTCCCCTCGATTTAAAAAATTGTATTTATGAAAAATAAAAATTATGTTATCCGTCTTAATAAATTCCTGGTTCTGCTTATGCAAGTTGATTTCCTCAGCTTATTTTAACAGTGTACATTGAGAAGGTGATTGCGAAAAGATTCGATTTAGACTCTTTAATTGATTAGTTCATTAGTATGAAAGTATATACGGTGGAATCTAAATAGATTAGCTTATCTAAATAGATTAGTATGAAAATATATACGGTGGAATCTAAATAGATTAGCTTGATTGACAATTGGATGAGACTTGACTAGAGAATATTATCTCATGTTCGCAGCAAACAAGAGAGAGTTTAGTCTTCCGTTCGAGGGGGCGAAAAAACTTCAACTATCTTTGTCGACCGATATTTCGGTCACATCGTCAATGGCAACGGGGCTTGTTATTCCCCTTTCTACTATGTGCCCTCCACCGGCGCCGTCCATCAGCATCTCTTTCACCAAGTGGAAGCAATAGCTCTTGAAAACAGGGGACCTAACCGAGACCCCAAAATCCAAAAGGAAAAGCAGCTCTAGCTCTAGCCGGTTCATCTATGCATTGCTCAGTGCTCACTCCTCCCTCCCGAGCATAGAAGGCATTGTTATAATGCCTGCATTACCATCAAACCAAAAATATATTACCCTTTACATATCAATCGAACATAGTAATTTGAAACTTAAAGAAACTGCAACCTCTCAATGTAATCAAATGCTGCATCTGTTAGTTGAATAATAAAAATCCACCAGCACCAAGAATTAGGGCACTTACACATCATCATGCATCAAGATTTTACAGTTTACTCTGGAAGCTCCATCAGTCCAAAGAAAACTCACTTGGTGATTAAGCTCCACAGTCCTAAGGTCAATTTAATTACCAGTTCCTCTAACAAGGGAAGGTGATGAAGAGTCCCGAATAGATAATCTTCTCATTTACGTTCTTCTCTCCATATTCTAGTGTTTTCAAGTTTTAAATGCATCTTGTGGTAAAAATTTTCTCATGCCCTTTTGTAGGATTGACGATATATTTCTTCGTTACAGTTTAAACAAGTGAAGGTCTTGGACAAGGAAAAGTGCAGCATCATTGTGGATACCCAACCTAAGTCACTCTACAAGTTTTTGGAAAGCACTAAGCTCAACTCTGGGAATATGGAAATGGAAGACACTGAAAAGCTGTTTGTTGAAACGGTTGGAGTTTTCTTGAGTTTTAGGTCCCACCAGTTTTTTTTTCCATCTGATTCTCGGCATGGTGAGTCATAACTAGAGTCAGATATTCCGATATCATAGTAATTGGGAAACTGTGTCTGCTCGAGTTTGCTTCTTCTCCCCTTCAACTACATACTATTATATTATAATAATGAAATACTTGCTCTTCAAATTTTTTTCTTTCTTCATTTTCTCAACCAATTTGCTTTGATCATGGATCACAAGAAGAAGAAAAGTGACAATTCTTGGTCTCGTGACGACATATGTAAAACGCAGAGATATCAATCTCAAGGAGGCATCTGAGTTATCTATGTCAACTGATACTGATGACGGACTTCTGATGTTTTCTCCTACAGGTCAATTTACCAGTTTCTCTATCAAGGGAAGCTGATGAAGAGTTCCAAATAGATAATCTTCTCATATATGTTCTTTACATATTCTTGTATTTTCATGTTTTAAATGCTTCTTGTGGTAAAATTTTTCTCATGCTCTTTGTAGGATTGAAGATATCATTGTTACATGGACTGGTGTGATGAGCGTGGAGAGTATGTTCCGTTGATCTTTGCTAGCTATATATTTTTTTCTCATTGAAGTTTATGGTTTTCGTAAAAGCAAACGTTGTTAATAACTTTAGCCTAGTGAAGCAGTTCTCCTTCTGAACTGTGTTGGGGATTTAATGTTTTAACTATCCCTTTCTCCATCTTCTTTGCATGTATGGAATAAAGAGAAACTCGTTAGTGTGTGCCGTTAGTTCTTACAATCTTGTACTCCTTGTGTGAAAACGTTGATTAATTAGATGAGGTAGTAGGCATACACTGCACAAGGCTTGAAATTTGACTTACAGCTGAGCTGCACCGATTTTCACATCTCATATTTTACCTATTTCTTCCTCATGGGTCCACAAAGCACCTTTCTTTAACTGGAATATGAGTTTACTGTAGTAAAACATTACATTGAACTGTATCCAATACATATTTTTAAGATGTAACATTCAATCAGCTTAAATATTAGGGTACAACATTTTCCTTATTTTCTGACACTATGAACAATAGATGAGTTAAAAAAAAAGTAAAAAATTCACACAACACTTGGACACACAGTTCAGGTTTATGCCCTACTTTTCTTGTTCCCCCATCAAAGGAGGGAACTTCGGCTGTGCGTCGCCTACAAAATGATTAAAAAACGGCGTGACCTGTTAAACAAGTAAATGATTAAAATTTAGATCGGTTATGTTATATCATTTAATCGAAAATATTATCAAGTACAATAATATATTAGGTAACGCTTATATAATGTAATAGGTAGCGCTTATATTAACCTATTTTCTAACTAAACAGATATATTTAAACCGGTAATATTTCAAATTTACCTATTACATTATAATTATCGGTTTTGATGTTTTTGGGATTAATATAATTTTAAATGTATCGACACTTTATGCGTGCACCTCGTTGTGCTTTTATTTTGGGAAAAAAGTATCGACACATATTTAAAGAGTGTCGATACATAATGTAAACCTATTTGTTAATTAACCAATATATTTTTACCGGTTACATTGTAAATTTACCTGTTACATAATAATTATTGATTTCAATTTTTTTGGATCGATACTTTTCATAAATGCATCGACACTTATGCGTGCATCAGTTTGAGTTCTTCAATTAACAGTTTCAATGACACAAAATCCTGATCAAAAAAATAAAATTAAAATTGACCTAATTTTATCTTATGGAGATGATAAGAGTATATCATAAATTTGCGTTGAGAGATGTTTTTTTCTGGATTTTTGTTATTTGAGAAACTGATAACATTGTGGGTTTCCCAATGTTATTATTTTGTTACTGCAAAGTTTTTATTCTTTTATTACTGAGTTTTGCTTAAAATATCTAACTTTTTTGTATTAAAAATGAAAATTCTGAAATAAAGATGATCACACAAACACACTTTTTTACTACTGGCTTTGTCATTTTGAAACAAATTTTGTCATATTTTTACATGTTATATTGTTATAGATCGATACATTTTTATAAAGTATCGACATTTTATTGGCGCTATAACTTTTTTTTTAAAATTCTAAAAGTGTCGATACTTATAATAAAGTATCGACACTTTCAACATATCAGATAGCTCTTTACCTGTTTTGTCATTTCGAGACCGGTTTTGTTATATTTTTACATGTTATATTGTTATGGATTAATACATTTTTATAAAGTATCAGCTCTTTATTAGCGCTATAACTTATTCTCTTTTAAATTCTAAAAGTATCGATACTTATAATAAAGTATTAACACTATCAACATATCCGGTAGCGTTTTACCTGTTTTGTCATTTATGAACTGGTTTTGTCATTTTTTACCTGTTATATTGTTATGGATCGATACATTTTTATAAAGTATCGACACTTTCAATATATCTGGTAGCGCTTTACTTGTTTTGTCATTTATAGACTTGTTTTGTCATTTTTTTACCTGTTATATTGTTATAGATTAATACATTTTTATAAAGTATCGACACTTTCAATATATCCTGTAGCGCTTTACCTGTTTTGTCATTTATAGACCGGTTTTGTCATTTTTTTACCTGTTATATTATTATGGATCGATACATTTTTATAAAGTATCGACACTTTCAATATATCCGGTAGCGCTTTACCTGTTTTGTCATTTATAGACCGATTTTGTCATTTTTTTACCTGTTATATTATTATGGATCGATACATTTTTATAAAGTATCAACACTTTTAATATATCCGGTAACACTTTACCTGTTTTGTCATTTATAAACCAGTTTTGTCATTTTTTTACCTGTTATATTGTTATGGATCGATACATTTTTATAAAGTATCGACACTTTCAATATATATGGTAGCACTTTACCTGTTTTGTCATTTATAGACCGGTTTTGTCATTTTTTACCTGTTATATTGTTATGGATCAATATAATTTTATAAAGTATCTACACAAACCGACAAGCTAAGTTTGCCGGTTGTCAAATTTTTTAATATTTCTTCATGATTTTCACCTATTACATTATTATTACTCGATATTTCCGGTAACGCTAAACCAAATTTATCAAATATATTTTAATATATCCGATAACATCATATATTAACCGTATATTAGTCCGACTTTTCTCATACAATCCCATCAAAGGAATCCTGGAGACAAGAAAGAAATCTAAAAGCAGATAAAAAAAAGCAAACACTAAAGTAGAGAGCACTGTATTCACAAAAGAAGCTTTTTTTTAGGTTTCTTATAGCATTACCAGCTAATCCCATTTCACAGTACCTGCTTTATAACTTTACTACTCCTTTATATATATTTCCACAACCCTTTCTCCCCATCTTCGAATGCTCCCTAAAGAAACAAAGAAAAAGAAATAAAAATGGTTAAAATGGGAGGTGTTGTTGTTTGTCTTTTGATTGTGGGCATGGATGTTGGAGCAGGGATCCTTGGCATCCAAGCTGAAGTTGCACAAAACAAGGTGCCTTGTGATGCATTTTGATTCCATCTCTATCGATTATTACTTCTTACTTCTGTTGGTTTGTGAATATTTGTTTTTTTAAGGTTAAGCACTTAAGGCTGTGGATATTCGAGTGCAAAGACCCGAGCCGTGATGCATTCAAGCTAGCGTTGGGTGCAGCGGCGTTGCTGACTCTAGCCCATGTGCTTGCCAACCTGCTCGGTGGGTGCATGTGTGTTTGTTCTCAGGAAGAGTTCCACAGATCATCCGCTAATACGCAACTCTCGGTCGCATGTTTCTTCTTCACTTGGTAAGACACCACATTTTCCTTACGTGTTTTTTCTTTGAATGTGGATATTTGATGTATTTGGGGGGTTGAACAGGATCATATTGATGGTGGGATTGGGGACGCTGGTGATAGGGATACTACAAAACGACAAGTCCAAGGCGTCGTGTGGGCTGACGCACCACCATTTCCTGTCCATCGGAGGGATATTGTGTTTTGTTCATGGGCTGTTTTCGGTTGCTTATTACGTTTCTGCTACTGCAGCTAGTGATGAAGGAAAGTAAAAATGGAATGTCATATTGGGTCAACAGTCACTATGAAACTACATGTAAAACATGGGTAAGCTACATGCTTATAATTCAACTATCACTTTTATTTTATTTTAGTTAGTTAATATATATTTTTAAAATTATACTTAACATTATATTTTGATAATGTTGATTTGTCATCATATATCTTCATCTCATCATTAAATTTTAAAAAAAATATTATATCAATAGTTTATTTAATTTTTTAACGGTAATTGATGAAAATAAAACAAAAAAAGAACAATAATTATTATTTTGAAAATAAATAATAATTGAGTGATCAAATTGAAACAAAATGATAGTTGAGTTGAATTATTAAACGTATATTTTACCGTATAAACATTTGTAAAATCTTCTTTTGATGCCATTATTCATCTTGCGGAGCAGCTTTTGTTGACACTTTTTTTTATTTTTATATTCCTCATTTTGATATCGTCCTTAAATTAAGTTTAGTTAATAATTTAAAATTAAAATCCAACCCTTAAAAGAAGAGAAATTCTCCAACTTTAATCATGTTTTCTCAAAAGTTTAAATAAAAAATTATGGTGTTCACCTTATTAAAAAAATCATAAATTCTTAAAGGAAATATAAATGAATCTTATTAAAATATATCAGAATAATTAAAATTTCATAACATCTTATAAAAGTTTAAAACATCTCATTAAAATATGTAAAATTAATTATAAAATTGAAAACAATGTATTTTGATAAGTTTTCTTTTTCAATGTAAAGCATGGTTGGACTAACTCAATATTAATCCGAAACTACAAATTTTAGTTGAAAAATCATTTTATCCCATTTTAAATTTAGTTTATCTTATATAAAAACAAACTGAATAAAACTTACTAAATCCAAATTATTTTGCCATCTTAGATATATGCAATGGGTTGAAACTATGCAAATGGGATAATTTTACTTAACGATAATCTAATTTAAAGCTAATTTAAAATAACTTTTAATTTAAAATGTTATCGTATTTAATTTAAGAAATTATATAATTTATAACATTTTTTGTTGTAACCTAAAATGTTATATATGAGTGAATTTTAGGTTTACAATTGAAGAAGTTATACAATTTATAATAACTTTAATTACAACAAAATATTATACAGAAATTAATATTTTTTGTTTCAATTTAAAATGTTACCATATCTTACTTAAAAAGTTACACTTTGAATACAAAAATTATTACAACTTATTTATATTATTCTTTTAATCTTATATTAATAAGTTGTATTTTATATTCTTTCATATAAGTGATGAATTATTTTTGTGGGCATATAATTGTGGGTTGATATTTGTATATTATAATAGTCTGAATTACTGATTGAATCATACAGGAGAAAGAGAGGGAAAAAATTCGATAGCATAAATCAAGTTATCTTAGTAGTTGTAGGGATGATTATCATTTTTAAAGGTATTAGATTCAAATACTAATTGTCGCAGCCTTCTTTCGGTTGGGCCCCGAACTTGAGCTTCGACTTGAAATGAGTGGGTTGGAGTCGCCACCGATCACTTTAAAAACATTTAAGTAGATCAGACACCATCTTACCTGATCTGCGTTTTACCATAAATGTGTCGAATTCGGGAGTCGGTTACAGTCAAGGAAGGATTAGCACCCTTGAACCGCCCTTTCGGTACCAATTAATTTGTCGGTTGTCTTTAATTGCGAAAAATTGAAATTGAAATTAAAATTTAAAAAAAAATCAATTTGAATTACTTATCTTTGATTAATACAAAATTCTCCTAAAAAGATCAAGAATATTATTAGATTGTAAAATAAAAAAATATTAATATAATAATAATAATAATAATAATAATAACAAAATAAATAAATAAATAAAATAGATAACAAGGATAAATAAAGGTTAGTAAAAAATAAAAAAATAAGTAAATTAAAAATTAAAAAAAAAAGGACCAAAATGAATGATGTTCAAATATGGAAGGATTTCACCAAGATTTAGCACTCTATAACCCCAAATACATGTGGGTGCATAAGCAAATGGGTTTGGCTATTAAAAAGATGGGTCCCTTGTACATAACATATTTTAGTTTCTTATTTACCCTATTCACTTTCACGTTCATGGCAGCCTTCAACTATACTGAATCACTGGAAATGAAAATGAAAATACTGACCCTTTACCTTTGATCACATGAGATTGAACCGTTTGATCGAGCCACAGTCGGAGTATGTTTATCCTCGCATCCTCATCTACTACTTGACCGCTCGAATTGTCATAAAAGGACTGCAATCGTTCGATCTTCCTTGCTCCGATCGTTCGGGTTTGTGAATGGAGCCTCGAATCACCAGTGATCTCTTCCATTTCTTCCCCAGTTAATGAAACCATGCTCCCAAATAGACCACAGATTTTGATGACTTTCTTCCTAGTCATTCCATGCACTTCTTCGCTTAATGGCTTCCATAAACTCGAACCATAGCCTCGGACGTTTCCGGCTTGCGAATAGCAGCCTTCGTCGAACCCATCAGAGATAGCCTCGACACTGATTTGCGGTGCACATATGGAACCGACGGTGTAAAGCGTGGTGGCTAGTGTTGCCTTGACACCTTTAAATGCTAAACGCTTGGTGAATTGAAGAAGAGGGTTGATGTGGCCTTGGCTTGGGTACGACACCACTATCATGTGCCCTTTAAATTGTTTGTTTTCCATATTCTCTGCGCAAAGCAGACACTTCAATTTTGGGGCCCGCTCTCTCCCTTCAACTACTTTTTTTTTTGCTCTTCCCCCTGTGCAGTAGCCAAATCCCCATTTTAAATGAAAAAAATATGGGAAATGCGCACTGCTTTTTCGGCATTTGTTGTACGTGGAAAAGAGCCTTTGGAACGTGGGAAGTTAACCACCAGGTGATGTGGTGTTGTTGGGATAGTTGGGGTTGAATATGGACCTGCAAAAAAATATTAATAATAATAATAAATAAATTATAATAATAAAAATAAAAATATAAAACCCGGTCAAAAACGGGTGTCTACAGTTGCCCCTCTTTGCACATTCTTGTGTTAACAAGAATAGGGCAAAGACAAAAAAAAAGATAACTAGTTTTTGTCCTGTCTTCTCAAATGTGATTGAGCTTCCTGGAATTGGGCCTTTGTCTTCTTCTCGGTTTAAAGATTTCGGCTTGAAAATTCTTCCAGAAAGCAATTTATCGCTGTCATCGAGCTGAATGAAATCGAACTCGTCAGGTCTTTGGTTGGCAGATAGCCCTTCTCGACTTAAGCTATGCTGCAAATGATGTGCCTCAGAGCTGAGCGTAGTCAAACTCGAAGGTCTTTGGTTGGAAAATAGCCCTTCTTGCCTTGAGCTATGTTGCAAATGATGTACCTTGGAGCTGAGCGTAGTCGAACTCAAAGGTCTTTGGTTGGCATATAACCCTTCTCGACTTAAGTTATGCTGCAAATGACGTGCCCTCGAAGCTGAGTGTAATCGAACTCGAGGGTCTTTGGCAGATAGCCCTTCTCGACTTAAGCTATACTGCAAATGATGTGCCTTAGAGCTGAGAGTAGTCGAACTCAAAGGTCTTTTGGTGACAGATAACCCTTCTAGCCTTGAGCTATATTGTAAATGATGTGCCCTCGAAGCTGAGTGTAATCGAACTCGGGGGTCTTTGGCAGATAGCCCTTCTCGACTTAAGCTATGCTGCAAATGATGTGCCTTGGAGCTGAGCGTAGTCAAACTCGAAGGTCTTTTGGTGACAGATAACCCTTCTAGCCTTGAGTTATGCTGTAAATGATGTGCCCTCGAAGCTGAGTGTAATCGAACTCGGGGGTCTTTGGCAGATAGCCTTCTCGAGTTTGATATCATTCGTCGTGAAGTTGAAATCCAAGTAAGTAGCATTGTTCCGAGTCCAATATCCTCCGTCATGAAGTTGAAAGTTGTTTATTGACAACCATCGGTCCCTTCGTCGTGAAGTTGAACTTGCGTTGTCTTGAGTCCAATATTCTTCACTGTGAAGTTGAAATTGACTCTGAAATTGTGAAATTGTTTATTGACAACTAGCGGTCCCTTCGTCGTGAAGTTGAACTTGCGTTGTCTGGAGTCTAATATCCTTCGTTGTGAAGTTGAAATTGGCTCTGAAATTGAGAAGTTGTTTGTTGACAACCAGCGGTCCCTTCGTCGTGAAGTTGAACTTGCGTTGTCTGGAGTCCAATATCCTTCGTTGTGAAGTTGAAATTGGCTCTGAAATTGAGAAGTTGTTTGTTGATAACCAGCAGTCCCTTCGTCGTGAAGTTGAACATGCGTTGTCTGGAGTCCAATATCCTTCGCTGTGAAGTTGAAATTGGCTCTGATATTGGGAAATTGTTATTGACAACCAGCGGTCCTTTCGTCGTAAAGTTGAACTTGCGTTGTCTGGAGTCCAATATCCTTCATTGTGAAGTTGAAATTGGCTCTGAAATTGAGAAGTTGTTTGTTGACAACCAGCGGTCCCTTCGTCGTGAAGTTGAACATGCGTTGTCTGGAGTCCAATATCCTTCGTTGTGAAGTTGAAATTGGCTCTGAAATTGAGAAGTTATTTGTTGACAACCAGCGGTCCCTTCGTCGTGAAGTTGAACATGCGTTGTCTGGAGTCCAATATCCTTCGCTGTGAAGTTGAAATTGGCTCTGAAATTGAGAAGTTATTTATTGACAACCAGCGGTCCCTTCGTCGTGAATTTGAACTTGCGTTGTCTGGAGTCCAATATCATTCGTTGTGAAGTTGAAATTGGCTCTGAAATTGAGAAGTTATTTGTTGACAACCAGCGGTCCCTTCGTCGTGAAGTTGAACTTGCGTTATCTGGAGTCCAATATCCTTCGTTGTGAAGTTGAAATTGGCTCTAGAAGTGGAAAATTGTTTATTGACAACCAACGGTCCCTTCGTCGTGAAGTTGAACTTGCGTTGTCTGGAGTCCAATTTTCTTCGCTGCGAAGTTGAAATAGACTCTGAATGAAATTGGAAAGTTGTTTGTTGACAGACAACTTTTCTTGACTTAAGTTGTGCTGTAAATTTCCTTTAA